TTATTTTGAGAGTCTAAACGACTTATTGTAGAATTCAAAGCTACTTTTTTTTATCTCACCACATGTCTCTCAAATCTTTTGAGGTCTCTCTATATCAAATAGCATATGGTATGAGATTTCATTTGGTGGATAAAGCCATGGAGTATTTCTTGTAGCACCTTTGCAACAACAGAGAAAAAGTGAACTGTTGCTTTGAAGATGCGTCTGAATAAGATGAAGCAATATCTATGGAATTATTCCAGTTACAATTAAACCCTACTTGCAAAAATAACTGATATTGCAGAACCATCAGTACTATAGTGAAGGATCCAGCTTAAGGCAGTGTGACATTTTTTAGGCATATAAAGACATGAGAACTGCAATTAGACTCTTCGCATTTGTTGAACTTACCCAGCTTTCCGCAGTTCCTGATATACTGCCAAGCACCGTTGTATTTCGTGTAAGGAACCATACCTGCTACGGGCTCTTAAAAGTGTGTTATAGGTCACCTGGATGAAAAATTAAAAAGGATCAATGTATGTTAAATTGGGTTGAACATGACATTTTCCCTGTCCACAGTAATTCTGGACAGAATATGCCCAGAATATAAGATGAACCATATGAAAATATTGCTTTTTATTGTTTAATCATACTAGCAGGAATATATCCCACAAAACAAATAAAAATCTATTGTCCCAGCGCTACTCCTTTTTTTTCCGCGGGGGGGGGGAAGGAGTGGGGATTGGGGGGAAGAAATTTTAAGCATGCAAAAATATCTTTGTAACCTTCATTTGGTTATGAAAATAAATTAAATTTTTTGTCCTTATACTAGCAAATAAACATGTGTGGTGGTTGGAAGTTAAAAACAAGATATAGATCATCAAACATAAAAATATGACAATTTTAAAAGTCACAAAATATAAATTCTAGTGACCTCTAGAAAATTGTTATTATTTCTATTTGACTAGTACATGTCCATATTATACTCTAACTAATTTTGTAAAAAAGAAACTGAAAACTAATCTCATGTCTCAATAGCCTATCCGAACAAGAGAAGGTGTTGGAGTAGGGGAGAATTATTCTTCAGATAATTTTCTCAAAGAAACTACACTTCGGGCCCACTGCAATGGCTGGGAAGAATTTATCAACCCTAAGCACTTACCAGATTTGGTTGTATCTGATAACTTTTCATTTCCTCGAATAATGAAAAGGCTAACTTCAAATTTTTGCTTTTAACACAAACCTAATAGAGAAAGGGCAATATGTCAACATCTCAAGGTGATTAGCAAAAAATAGTTTGACAGGGAATGGAGCCACTTAGAACATCCAAATGGCGAGAAAGTTTTAAACCTTGATGGCTGTTGTATATGTAACAACGTCAGGTTTGGTTCCAGCCAATTGCATTGTTTTCAATGTCTGCACTGAAAGAAAAAAATGGCTATCAGAAAACTTTAATCGTTGATTCCTTATGGAAGATATTTATCAATCAAATCTAAAAATCTAAAAACAGCTAAAATAAACAAATAAAACAACACAAACCGCTTGGATTCCAATTGGACTAATGCTGTTATCAACTATTAGGAAAAACTACAACTTGTTTCAGAACAAGGTATTAGATCTTTTTAGGAATTCTGAAGTAGGGAGGAGTGATTTCAGAAAATCATTTCAAGAAATCATAACCTTCCACCACAGTCTGGTTCGGGATCCTTCTGACCTTGCTTACCAGACCCACAGATTATCATATACATAATATGCGCTATGCTTTAACTAAATACTTCTATTTATGCCGATGCTTCTTTCTTTTAAATTCTCTGACACTTCAACTGTAAATTTGATTATGTTCTAGCACTTGCTATAAGCATTGGGGGCACAAAAGGCAATAGGTGGATCTATCCTTCAATGCTTGCCAGACTGGGATATATGTCTACTGATACAACCATGCTATCAAAGAAATGAGATCAGTTAGAAAAATGCCCTGACCAAGCCCTGATTGGACTGTCAGTTCGAGTAATTATTGAGAAATGGCTAAGATATTTGAATAATAGGATGGAACATATGAAAAGTGAAAGTCAAGTATATCTTGAGCGGCCAACCCGGCAATTGCCGGGGTAACTTCAGGTGGAGTGTATAGCTCAACCCAATTGTCAGTGCAAGTGTTCAAATTACAATTATCAATAAAAGAGAAAATAGATATAACTGTATCTTACCTGGATGGCACCCTCTACATTGCCCGAACCTCCGCATATATCAATCAAAATTGACCAGCTTATGTGATTAGGGGAAATGCCCATGGTCTTCATCTCATCCATCAAAGCCTTTGCTCGATAGAAATCAGTACCACAGGCCTTGAGCAAAATATTATATGTGGTAGTTGTAGGCATAAAAGAAAACTTCTTTGAAAAACTTAAGAATGGTGAATCAGAGGTATAATTCAGCTTAGTAGCAAGATTATTTGTTGTATTTTGCACTGAACTTAAAATGGTATCTTTGCTACTCTTGTAATCTTGACATAAAGTCTCCTGGACAGTATCTCCCTTCCAAGCAAGGAAAAGACGAAAAGCCCTGTCATACTGGCAAGCCTCAACACAAGCATGCAGTAGGATGTTACAACATTGTGAATTAGGTTCACATCCAGCCTGGAGCATCTCTTCAAATAGTTTAGTTGCCTGCTCCACAAGGCCTGCATTGGCACAGGCACTTATCAATGATGACCATGTAATGGTATTGGGAGTCAAACCAGCTTCTTGCATATCCTCTTTAATTTTCAATGCCATTTGCCACAATCTAGCATCTGAAAAAACCTGGAAATTTGAGGCCTCAGTTATGGGAATAACGAGATATGATAGAGAGAGATCAAAGGTTTCCCCATTCCACCCGGCTATAGAGGAGATTAGACTAGCAATTATTAAATGAGCAAATAAACTGATTTCACATAACTATACCTTTATTATCGTGCAGTATGTAAACACATCCAACTTTGGCCCTCCTGCAGATTGCAATCGTTTTGCTTCCTTATAAATATCCTGGGCCAGATCAACCCTTCCAGCATGGCGACATGCCTTCAAAAGAATATTATAAGAGGTCATGTCTGATGCAACGCCAAGATCCTGAAGACTCATAACATGTAAGTTTTAATATTTTATAGCTGATAAGGATGCAAATATATATATATATGTCTCCAACAATTTTTTTGTACAAGTACCGAAGGAAATTCAAGGGAACATGTTAAAAATAGTTTGTTGGAATATGATTGAAGAAAAGTCCTATTTAGTTTGAGTTTATCCGTCCACGAGATGTTTCATTGGAAATACTTGATAGAACTATAGGATGCTTGTTTAATCATCAAGCAAACAATAAGAAAAGAAAACATGAACAGAAGTGTTTAATCATCAATAGTTTAGGAACATGACTTTTTATAGAATTCCACTCCTTATACAAATTGGTATCTTAAGAGAAATATTCTTATAAAGCAGAATCATAATTGACTTCTATAACAAAAATTATTTTCTCTTAATAAAACTGATTTATATTTAATTTCCTTCTAAAACTCTATCTAATTTTCTCCTATATATATATATATATTGATCCAGTTTTTATAAATTAAGTATCATGAATAAAACTTCAGTAAACAGAAAATTTAAATTTTCATAATATTAGAACAAAATCTTTAAACCCTATAAGAATTTTTTTTTTCTCTCTCTTGCCGATGACCAAATACAGAATGGTCACAGCAAAAATCAATTACCTCTCTAAAGTCACATCTTGATCTGATGGAATTATTTCCATCAAACAACCTGAATTGGAAATCAATCAAAATTTGATCACCAGCCACAAGTTAAACAGAAGCAACTACATTCAACTGTCTCAATCGGTCAAGATATTTATCTACGGAAGAGGGAGAGAATAATACCTTAACGGAGAAATCACCCAACCGAGTACCAAAAATGCAAAGTCTTGAACTTGGAAGACCGAGAATAATTTGGTCATGTCGTGACTAATTAACTCTATAAAAAATGATATCGGTAAGAATTTTTTTTGTACGGGATGTCACACAAAATTTGGGAAGCAAGCAAGAAATTCTACTCGATAAAGAAAAAACATTAATTTTTTTTTTCCATTGAATCTACCTTCACAACCCGCAACAAGGAAATCTATTCGTAACACAGTACTACGGTATGCTCAACTGTCACTGCAACGGCTCGATGTGTTTGAGAAACTTGTCTAGAGCTCTCCAAAAAAAAAACAAAATGGTACAAAGAAACTTTGGAAATAAAAAGAATTTTCAAATTCTCATGTACTTGAATAAAAATCTAGATGAAATCTAGATAAGAATACTTGAAATGAAACTATTACCTGTTACTAGTGAGATACTTTCTAAAGAAAGGAAAAAAAAAAGCAAAAAAGAAAGCAAAAGAAAAGGTGATGTTGGGAGATGGATTCACAAGCCTACTACTGAGCAAAACTCTACTTTAGTTGACCGGAGCCCTCATCGCAACTCAGACAACTGATAAAGAAAATAAAGGCCTTCGGGTGTAATCATTGCAAAAAATTAAGTCATATTCAAGACAGTTGCTGAAAAATTCATGAAAACCAGATCATTTGAAGACCATAAGATCAACTACATACAAAGAAAGTAAGGAAAATTATGTCCCTATTGATGAACCTATCTGTACTAAGAAATCATGTCTATTCAACAAAGAGCATACAGAAGCCCTCCAAAAAAGTATCTATATCAAAAGTCCCTCAATAATAACATAAGATTTGGGACAATAGCCTTAAAAAGTAATTCTTTAGAGTTCTTATTGCTATTTTAGTAAGTCAAAATACTTGAATTATTGACTCAGGGACATTTACAACATGTCAGAAAATAAAACATTATTCCAAAAATATAATCCATGTAATGAGAATCTTACAATAAAAATAGCAGATAGATCTCGATCAAGCGTGGTTGGAATAGGTGACATCCTTATCTCAAAGTAGTTAGTCTTAGAGGGAGTACTTTACGTATCTAATTTGAATTGCAATTTGTTATCGGCAACGCAAGATTATAACTGTATTGCTACTCAAACTTATGTGAATTTCAAGATTTGGATTCAAGGAGGACGATTGGTAAACTTAAGGTGTACTCCAGACTCTTTCTCTTCAAGGACAATGGATCTTTCAAAAAACAATTCCATAATGTAATATATCTTGAGTCTCAAGACAGTCCAACTTACTTATACACAATTTTAGTACAATTATGTTATGGTATTATTGATTAGAATGCTCAAAGTTTATATACCTTCAAAGCTTGTTTTCTTCTTTATTCAAAACTAAAAATTCAAAAAAATTTCATTAGGAAGTATGTCAATTGTCAAAACATATTCGTTCTACATATCTTAAGTTGTCGTATAAAGCCTCTAAATAATTTGCTATGATACATAAAGACATATGGGAACCATCTAAAATCAATAATACTATCGATACTTGATGGTTTATATCTTTTCTAGATTATCATACAAGAACAATATAGTTATTCTTCATAAAACAAAATTAGAAGTTGGCCAGATATTCAAAAAAATTCAACATGGTTCAAACTCAATTCCAAACAAAAATATAAGTGTTGAAGAACTGAAAATGGAAAAGAATACATCGACCAAGTGTTGGATATGTGTTCTAAGAGGGAGAGAATTGTTCATCAAAGTTTATGTGTAGATACCCTCTCAACAAATGAGATAGCCAAAACAGAGAATAGACATCTCTTAGAAGTTGCCAAATCCCTCACGTTTACAACTCAAATTTCAAAATTTTTCTGGGAGAAATTATTCTAACTGCAACTTACTTTATTAATAGAATGTCTTCTTGGATCATTAAGTTTCAAACGCTCTACCAAGTTATGCTTCAATACTTTCTATCACTCGACTTCTATTTATCTTATCTATCAAAATTTTTGATTGTTCAGCCTTTATCACATATATAACCATCACAGAAGCAAACTACTCCAAAATCAATAAAATGTATCTTTATTAGGTATTCCTCAAACCAAAAGGGATATGAGTGTTTTTTACCAATCATCTAGAAGTTCTATAATTCCATGGATATCACATTTCATTAAAACCAACTATACTACAAAATTGCAATTTAGAGGGAGAAGAATACACAAGAATTTCAATTTTGGGGCTCTTAAATACCTTCATTCTCCTCCAACGAAACCTATTAGGTCTCCAGAACATATAAATCAAGATAAGACACAAGAACCTAAACTACCCACCACACTGAAAAACTTGAACTTCGAGTCTCCACTAGAAAGAACAAGAATCAAGAAGTGAAAGAGTCACAACCACCTTATCAGAGTCATGGATCCAATCCACATCCCAAATCTAACATTATTAAGTACTTCAGATAATCTAAGTTCAAATTTTTCCCTTAATAATTTGTATGATAATAAACCTATTGCTCTAAGAAAATAAAAAGAGCATGCATTGATCACTCAATTCACAATTTTGTTTCATACAAAGTTCTATCATCAACTCATCAAACATTTGTAAGCAATATTGGTCAAATACAGATATCAATGACGATATATGATGCATTAAAAGTACTCAAATGAAAAACTGCACTCATGGAAAAGTCCAAACCTTAGAAAAGAACAAGATCTAGGAAATAGCATAATTACTACCTGGGAAACACCCAATTGTTGTAAATGGGTGTTTAAAATCAAGTATGATGCTGATGATAGCATCAACAAATTCAAAACTCAACTAGTAACCAAAGGCTTTACTCAATCTATGAAGATTATTAGGAGACATTTGCATTAATAGTAAAGCTTAACACAGTTCGACTACTAATGTATTTACTTGCCAATCTAGATAGGTCAATATTCTAACTAGACGTGAAAAATATTTTTCTTAATGGAGAACTAGAGAAAAAAGTCTATATAAAGATACCACCTGCCTTTGAAAGTTAAGTCAAAAACAAAAAGATTTACAAAGTCAAAAATCTCTTTATTTTATTTTTAAATAAAAGTATGAATTTGTATTGCAGTAAAGCTGCCAAAGAGGCATCACCCATTTGCAAAAAATTTACAAATCAATTAAACAATCAACTATAGAGCCGAGATCATCAAAGCATTCGGTGTTATATTCTAAAATA